CAGAAGGTGCATCATCATGCAGTCTGGGCTCATAGTGCTCCGGGTCTGAGCTGCACTTACAGGTGAGAAAGGCATTCTAACATAATGGCCTGTGAGTGCAGTTTAGACTTGGAATATGTAAGCCCAGCCTAAATAATAAAGCGCCTCCTTGAGGGGGGAGTATGTAAGCCCAGCCTAAATAATAAAGCACCTCCTTGAGGGGGGAGTATGTAAGCCCAGCCTAAATAATAAAGCACCTCCTTGAGGGGGGAGTATGTAAGCCCAGCCTAAATAATAAAGCACCTCCTTGAGGGGGGAGTATGTAAGCCCAGCCTAAATAATAAAGCTCCTCCTTGAGGGGGGAGTATGTAGGCCCAGCCTAAATAATAAAGCACCTCCTTGAGGGGGGAGTATGTAGGCCCAGCCTAAATAATAAAGCACCTCCTTGAGGGGGGAGTATGTAAGCCCAGCCTAAATAATAAAGCCCCTCCTTGAGGGGGGAGTATGTAGGCCCAGCCTAAATAATAAAGCTCCTCCTTGAGGGGGGAGTATGTAGGCCCAGCCTAAATAATAAAGCACCTCCTTGAGGGGGGAGTATGTAGGCCCAGCCTAAATAATAAAGCACCTCCTTGAGGGGGGAGTATGTAAGCCCAGCCTAAATAATAAAGCCCCTCCTTGAGGGGGGAGTATGTAGGCCCAGCCTAAATAATAAAGCCCCTCTTGGAGGGGGGGGAGTATTAAGCCCAGCCTAAATAATAAAGCACCTCCTTGAGGGGGGAGTATGTAAGCCCAGCCTAAATAATAAAGCACCTCCTTGAAGGGGGAGTATGTAAGCCCAGCCTAAATAATAAAGCACCTCCTTGAGGGGGAGGGGGGGCATGCCTGCTGCTGGAAGAAAGAAAAGGAGGGACCTCTTTTGACATCACGTCTGCAGTAAGTGGACGGGTAACATGCCCGGAGTTCCTGCGACTGCTCAGGTATCCCTGGTAGTGTTGGTCCCAGTCCATGCCAGAGAGCTTGGTCTGCATGTAAGTGTGAAATGATAAAGAGTTACAGGTATATGAAACAATAAAATGTGTCCCTGTCATGTATCAATTGCAAACTATTATTGGAGTGAAATATTCTTCATGACGGTGGCACCTAAACCGAACCCCTCTGCCATTTTAAATCTATTAAAGAGCAGATACCATCGTCACCCCCCAGCGTGTCCCCCAGAACCCGGTTTTACTCTTTTATTTTTTTTTGGTTTCTTTTAAGTTTAAAACCAGACGCTTCAAATTGTTGTATCCGCAGAGCAACTGTCATCAATGTATCTTTTCAGTGGCAACTGATGACCACGTACTGTATAGTTGTACATCTACATCATAAACAATCCTGACCCTAATGTGTACAAATTTGTCTTGTTCTCTGTTTACAGTACTGGCCAGGAATGCTCCCGACGGGTCAGGCCGGATCCTCACAAGAGTAAGTTTCCGGGGAGCGTGCGCACATTCGGAGCACCGTGCGCATTCTATATGGAATTAAAGAGCAACTGAAGGCCAAGCTTTTTGTTTTTGAGTTTGGATGGAGTGGAGAGGGATTAGAACCCCTGCCAGGATTTAAAGTGACATTAAACCCTCAGAATTTTTAACATAAACCAATACTGTAATGTGCGCCTTACTGTAATCCATGGTAGTTTCCCTTCTCTTTGCTGCTCTTCCTTTTAAATCTGTATCTCTTCTCATGCTGGGCAGAACTTCTGTTTTCCAGCAGACTGCCTTGTCTCAGGAATGGATACACGGTGTCTGTGTATAGGTTTGTAACCTGAGCCAGCACTACAGGAAGAGGCACTCGGCTGCAAAGGGAAGTTCTACCCCAGCATGAGAAGACATGAGGATTTAAAAGGAAGAGCAGCAAAGAGAAGGGAAACGACCATGGATTACATTAAGGCGCACATTACAGTATTGGTTTAAGTTAAAAAAAATCTGAGGGTTTAATGTCACTTTAATTGCTGTCTGTGTCCCCGTTAGGGGGATTCACCCCCCTCTATTTGTCCTGGTGACTGCTATTAGTGAAAGAGAATCCCAAATGTTGAGTTATCATCACAATAGGAATAGACGGGGAGATCTGGCGACCCTGCTGACCACCAGGAAATTTCCCTCGATGTGGGGATTTCCTCTCACTTCCTGTTGTGGCTGTCGTACAGGAAGTGAAATCTTCAATAGGAACAGTGGTAAAACCCTCCTTTGCTGTATCCAAAACTTTGGCTTCAGTTGTACTTTAATACGGGGATGCGGAAAGTAACACTGGAATGCTACAGATAACCAATAGCAACCAGATCTCAGCTTATAGACCAGCGACAGATGATTGCGCTACTTGCAGCACGCCGTCTTGTAGAATAAGCCCTTTGTGTAGGAAATGTGATTAAGATCGTGCGGATGGGCTTTTGTTGGCGTCGGGACTGCATCTCTCTGCATATAGGTCAGTGGGAATGCAAAGGCAGCTTGCAGGAGGTGGATGCAGCTCAGGAGGAGATCAGGATCAGCAGGTGAAAGGAACGCAGCTTCGCATTAGCCGATCGGTGATCTGGACGATAGCTCGGCTTTGTTCTCGGGTGCAGATGAACTTTAAAGTGTATTTCCGCTTTTTGCATTGAGATTTGAGAAGACCCCCCCCCCCAATATATGTTTATGTTCCTATTCACACAGCATAAGGAAAAATCTCTCACCCTTTAGAAGTGTCTGTGTAGCCGGAGCCTTTGCAAGCTTCTCTTTCAATTTCCACATGACCGGGAAACTCTGTCTGTCCCCATGGAAAGACCGGGGACAGACTGAGCATCCTCTCGTTCACATACAAGGCTTCTAGATCTTTAACCCTTTGTTAGGACAGACTGGGTGCAAATCTAGTTTACAACTGACAATGAAATCTTCCAGCACATCATCCGTTCTGCCAGTCAGTGCTGGAGGGGAGGAGGGGGAATCCCTGCAGGGAGCCGTGAGTGACAGTCATAGCTCTCTGCAGGGACAGAATCGAGCAGTGAGCGAGTGCTGGTATGTGTTCGCTCACTTCCCGATCTATAGAGCCGACGTGTGACAGTTTCATTGTCACAGGTCGGCTAGAACTATGAGCGATTTTCACTCCCCTCATAGTTCTCCTTTAAAATAAAAAAATTTTTATGCTAGGTGGACGAGAAACATGTAACAGATATAAAATCCGTGTTATCCGAGGTGAAAATGCACTTTAAAGCAGCACAGGGGGGGGGGGAATTTATCAAAACTGGAGGAGACAGAATCTGGAGCAGTTGCCCACGGCAACCAATCTGCTTCTCTCTTCAGTTTGTTCAGTAAAGATTTGAAAATGAAACAGAGAAGCTGATTGGTTGCCGTGCACAGCCGCTCCAGATTCTGTCTGCTCCAGGTATGATGAATCCCCCTCCATGGCATTGTATGTGGGTATAGTTTAGCTCCAGCAATGAATTTTCAGGTTGTCTCCATGTACCGGCCATAAAGAAATGTCTAGCAGGTTGGTCCAGTGGAGGCGGCAGATAGAATGTCACCACATTGGTGGGAAGTGTTAATAACAGATGGCGTGTCTCTGTATTGTTTTCCAGCATCAAGCCATTTGTCCAGCAAGCATATCCCATCCAGCCCACCGTCACAGCACCAATTACAGGTAATACAAGCCGCGGCTGCTTTTGTTATTTAGAACTGAACTCCGGGTAGAAGGATAATCCCACACACACAATACATCCAGGGACCATGTTTTATAGAACTTGTATTTCTGGCAGGAGAGGTGACCTGATTTTTCTCACATGCAGTCCATTAACACTTGGAGGTCTTGTCCCTCCCCCAGCCAGTAAAAGAACAGGGGTAGACCGCTGAGCTCATCTCTCTGCTCCTTCACTTCACTCCTATTAGTATACCTCTTATTAACACATGAACGTCCGCACAGCTGATTGGCTCCTTGTGCTGCTTCTCCTCTCCCCCAGTGTTACCAGGTCACATTTAGGTACGCACGCATTTCATTATATGTTCATAAGGACAGGTGCTCCTCGGGTTGCAATCACAAATACAGGCGCTCCTCGGGTTGCAATCACAAATACAGGCGCTCCTTGGGTTGCGGTCACAAATACAGGCACTCCTTGGGTTGCGGTCACAAATACAGGCGCTCCTCGGGTTGCGGTCACAAATACAGGCGCTCCTCGGGTTGCGATCACAAATACAGGTGCTCCTTGGGTTGCGAGCACAAATACAGGCGCTCCTCGGGTTGCGATCACAAATACAGGTGCTCCTCGGGTTGCGATCACAAATACAGGTGCTCCTCGGGTTGCGGTCACAAATACAGGCGCTCCTCGGGTTGCGAGCACAAATACAGGTGCTCCCCGGGTTGCGAGCACAAATACAGGTGCTCCCCGGGTTGCGGTGACAAATACAGGTGCTCCCCGGGTTGCGGCCACAAATACAGGCGCTCCTTGGGTTGCGGCCACAAATACAGGCGCTCCTTGGGTTGCGGCCACAAATACAGGCGCTCCTTGGGTTGCGGCCACAAATACAGGCGCTCCTCGGGTTGCGATCGCTCGACTTACAGTTTTTCGCATTTACGATGGAGTTTACCGTACAGTAAACTCCCCAGTTATTCGGCATCCACAGATCGGTAGGTGCTGGATAACTGTAGTTTCTAGTTGCTTGAGAGTTAATGGTAACTCTCAAGCAACCAGCCCCGACCCACTCCGCTTTCCCCTTCTTCCGCAGCCGGCAGGTGAATGTAAACAGCCGGGATTAATAACAAGACCGCTATTGGCTATTTTTAAATTGCAATAGCCAATAGCGGGCTGGCTATTGCACCCGCCCACTGAGCAGAGGAGCAGACCTGAGAGAACTTTCTCTCTTAGGTCCACTCTTCTCTTCTTAGTGGGATTCAATGGCCAGCCTGCTATTGGCAATTTGAGATAGCCAATAGCAGTCTTGCTATTGCTCCCCATTGTCTACTGTCTGCTGCCGACCGCGGCGGTACAGTACACAAGTACACTCCTCGGTTTACGATATTTCCGGGTTACAATGGATTTTCCAGAACGTAACCCGAGGAGAGTCTGTACAGAGCGGCATTCGTTTCTGTCTTGTGTCCGCTTGGTATTGAGCTTTACCAGGTAGGGTGCCCTCTTCCCTTCATGGTTCATGCTCTTCCCGTCCCCTCCACCACCATTTTGCATCACTTCTTGATCTAGAAAAGGGGGTGGGCAACTCCCGCCCTCCAGCTGTTGTGGAACTACAAGTCCCATGAGGCATTGCAGGACTGACGGATACAGGCATGGCTCCCGGAGACAGAGGCATGTTGGGATTTGTAGTGTAGGCACAGCTGGAGGGCCGATGTTGCCCACCTAGAATGTATAGAAGAGGTGAATACTAGTCACTGCTCTCTCCTACACAAATAGTTTATTTGAATCCGTCTGCCTGCAATCTCGCTGGCACCGCAGAGACGTCTTGATGAAATACTTCTCCTTCGAGGTGTAGTCATTTCACGAAATGCTGAAATTCCTCCTCTTTCCTCCGGGGGACGGAGCGCAGGTGCGCGTCTAAGAAAGTCTAATTAGCCCACAGGGGGCGAAGGAGCGGGCGGAAGAGTCTCTCCGTGTTTGTCTTCTGTTCTTATGGAATGGCCGGACCTTTGGGAATTAGGATTTATAATTTTTTCCCTAAAGCTCAAATCCGGTTAAATATTAACGCCGTTT